GCCCACCAGTGCGTCAGTGGCTGCACATGCAGTAACCCGGCTGGCAGAGGTAATGTTGGGGGGGAAGTGGAAGCGGAGGCAGCAGGAGCCCCACGCCTGTCCGTCCGTGCTGTCTGTGGAGCATAGCTCAGAAGTCCTTTCTGGCAGCTACAGAAAGCATTTGGCCACCTCCAGGCTCCCTGGGCTGCACACTAAAGCTTTCTCGATGCCCCATGTAACCCCACACCTGCACCCATGCCACAGCTCTCTGAAACGCAGACACGCAAACCTCCGCTTTGGGGAGTAGAGAGCTGCTACATCTCTCCTGGCCACGGTCCTGACCGCCAGCCCCTGGACTGGCCCTCTGGCACCCATTAAACACATGTGCCCCACGCAGGCATGGAGGGAGGCTGAGGACAGGGCTTCCCCTCCCCCCCCATAAAAACATTGTCTTGTGTTTTGCAGGTGCTGAAACCATGGAGGTGCAGGAAAACAGCCCCTTGCCACAGCTGGCCTGGGCACAAAGGTCTACCTGGCCTCGTAAGAAGGACGCCGGGGATGGCGTGAGGGAGGGCAGTGGTTTCCAGCACCTGGCGCCAGCTGATGGGAGGAGGCAGGCATCCCCGGTCCTGGAGCAGGATCCGGAAAGGACACCAGCATGGGCTGCAGGACCACAGTGCCTTGAGATGGGGCCCAAGGCGCAGGGACAACCTCCCAGAAGCTGTGGGACCTCACCTGACCTGGCAAAGGAGATAAGTGAGACAGGAGCCCCAAATTGCTGGCACTGGGGAAAAAGTGATGGAAGTGGAAACCTAGCAACCTCTCCCAGATGCCTTCAGACAGGCCTGCTGGACAATGCAGTCCCTGGCAATCCCTCTTCCCCAAAGCCACTGAGGCTAGGTGTTGCTTAACAGCTCTCCACAGAGCAGTGCAGAAGAAACCTCTCTGCATTTATCTTTTCCTTGCAACAGCCACTCAAAAGCAGTTGTAACAGCTTGACACTCAAGTTTGGGCAAAAATAATTTCCCCGATGCTAAGTTTGAGTACCTTGACTCCAGCAGTGGCCCTGACCATGGAAATTGTTGCACTTAACAGTATTGGTATTGCAAACTGCAGCAGTTATCTGGGCTCATGCAGGACTGGCAGGGTTAGGAGATATGCTTTTAGGAAAAGATGTTTCCGCAGTTGCAGTAGCCTGTCAGCAATCTTGCAACATTTGATTTTTCCAAGGATACTTGTATTCGCTTAAGAGCTGGATGCAAATAGAAAGATATGCAGTATTTTCCTCCATCAATAGCAATTTAGTCTTGGTCCATATTGTAGCTATTTCTTTGGCCAAGTAATGCATCAATGCACATCACTGTAGTCAGAGACAGTCTTTGCTCTGCCTCATCACTGCACTTTTTGATGTCATTCTTGATGTTGAGGTGACCTTTTCTTAAAATGGAACAGAAAACTTGTCATTTGGCAGATCAAAACGTGGACAGTCTTGAACTTCTCTTTCCTGCTCATTCTTACTGTCCATTTTACCCCAGCTCATTCTGAGTTTCTGCACTTCGCAGGGAAAGCGCCTTGGTGGCTGATAGCGTGGGAAGGAGCAGCAGGATTAGGAGGGAGCTACAGGTACTGGTACTGGGCAGGAACCTGGAGACCTTGGCCCTTTCCTGCCACTGCTAATGAGCAGCTTCAGGTGACGTCCCTGCCTCTCATCCAGGTTCAAATCCTTGCAAACACTGCTCTCCCAGCCCAGGTCCCCTCTGACCTGGCCCATGAAAAGTCATGGAGGTCGGGGCATGGGAGCCAGCACTGAGCTGCACTTTCAGCTTTACTCACTTCAGTGCTCCCCAAAGGGCTGCTGCCATTATTTGAAAATTTGCAGCCCTGATCTTTCAAGAGAAGAGTGTAACTGCGGGGCTCCTCAGTGCTACCCTTTTCTCGCCAGAGCTTTGCACTGGTGTGTGTAAAGAAATAGAGTGTTTTGCATAACCCAACACCGAGCACATCCCTTCACTCTCTGCTTGTCTTCCTCTCGCCAGTAAAGCACAATGTGGGCTCTTCATAGCGCACATAAGGAGAAAAGCCAGTGTATTTCTTTGTCTCTCTGGCGTCGTGGCACCAGGCTCTGCCAGACCGCGAGACAAAGACTAGCGGTCATTGAACTGGGCAAGAAAAGTAATGAAAGCAGAGGAATTTGGGTGGGAGGGGGGGAGAAGATGTTTCTAGCTCAATGGGGCTGTGCTTGCAGTCCCAGGGTGCAGAGCACCCTTGAAGACACCGGACTCCTGCAGAGCCCATGGTTGCTGTGGCTGTTTCTGAACCCACAAACACAGCAGCTGGGGATGAGCTGGGCCCCTCATGGAAAGCCTCAAGTAAGCCCTAGGAGCTGAAACACCAGGACGTATCCAGGAATCAGGCAAGTGCCTGTCAAAGTTGGTGGGGAGAGATGGAGGGGGTTCGATTCGGGGCCCCACGTGAAGGTCTGAAATGCCTGGGGGGGGGCCATCTGCCCCAGGAGGGACCTGCTGGGCCCTGCATCATGTCTGCCAGCCCTCTGCAAATGTTCTCTGTGCCTCCATCTGAGCAAGATCAGAGAGTAGGCTGGCTCTGTGGGTCAAGCAGGAGATCTCTCCTGCCAACAAAGATTTGCAAGGCTAGGAGCTGAAGATGGTGCCTCCCTGTCAGGAACCACAAATAGAGGTAGCCATATGTCCCATTTTCATCTCATACATCCTGGGCTTGCTCTGGCTCCTTGCCGTTTCCCCCATAGGCCCTTCAAATAGCTGGTGTCCATCCTCCCGACACAACCACACACTTGCATTATGCAGAGGAGCAACTCTGGACCGTGCTGCCAGCCAAGCGCTGTGTCCTGAGCAGTTTTTGCACCCCTTTAGGAAAACACCAAATAACACTACTGCTGCTGCTGCAACAAATTCTCTGAAGTTGAAAACACCAGGATGCTCTCGTTCACCTGAAATGTAGCCTTGAGCTTACGTATATTCCTGGCTGAAGTCAGCTGAAACAACAAGAGACTACTCTTAAGTTTGTTAGAAATACATGAATGCGTTCTCTGTCAAACCTGTCCAGAGACAAGCACCAGTCTGTGACATCTCTCTGGCTCCTGGTACAGATGGCAGCCACGGCGGGAGAGGGCTGCAGGGTGTGCAAAGGGAAGACCCATTGGTGACACTCACCCCTGGCCAGCTGGATCCAAATTACAGGCACAGGGACAGAGGAAGAGGGAAATCACATTTTTTTTCAGATGCTTCTAAAACACCTGTGTTTCTGCTGAAAATAATGCGGCTATCAGTGACTGTTTCAGGTCTGTCTTCTCTCAAAGCAGGGAGGGCATTATTTAGCCTCTGGTTTGCCAAGACATATGGGACTGAGTCCCATGGTTTTAAGGTACCTTTGCATTTTTTAGTCTAGCAGCTTAACAAATAACAGTTGGCTGGTGAGACCTTGTGAACTGAGGCTCACATTCTGGACTGCAGTAAAAAGGTGGAAAATCATGGTATTTGCTTTTGTGAGCTGACACTGTCCTTCTCATGGAGGAATGTGTTCAGCTTCTAATGTCTCCAGTAGGCAGGGAGCCCACAAACATTAAGCACATGTTTTAAAGCATATAAAGACATGCAGGATCTTCAGCCAAGCATTGACCATGCTTTCTGAGGTCTCCTGATGTCCCCAGGTAAAAGTGCAACAGCTACTAAAACTGGGCAATAAAGCTGGGCAATTATTAAAAGTAGACCAGTTTTGTAACTAGATTTTCTAAATTTCTAAAGCAGCTTGATTGCATAGATAGAAAAATAATATTAAATGGTTCATCTTCCATCATTGCCTTTTATAGCTGAATACTATCATACATTGTCTAAAGATTTTGGTATCCAGACGGAACTGGAGATCTCGACATGGAGCCCACCTTGAGAGATACATTATGACAATAATACTGGCTATTGGGCCCAAAATGCAACACCCATAACACTGTTTCAAGCTGCTTCTGGTTGCCTTTATCCATTTTAACTGTGTAAGAGAAGTAGCACAGCTCTCCCTAGTGAGGACCTGCGGTATGAGAGTGGAAGTGTTTCTGGGCACAAGTCAAAGGTGTTATCCTACATAGTGACAGCCATGGGAAGGACATCAGAATTGTGAGTCGCCCAGACAAAATCATACTGTCGCTGGATATACCCAGGGCTGAACCTGTGTGTGAACCAAGCCTGACTTATGAAATAACTATCAAATTAGTTGCCTAATTCTCAAGTTAAATCGATTTATTGTATCCTCCCTGAATAAGCCCTGAGGCTCTGCAGCACAGGCAACTGTCTGCTAGTGGAGGAGCATTCTAAATTCAGCTTGTAGTATGTAGGTATAATAGGTATCATCTCACAGGCAT